AGTTTTGTAAGCAGCTCTGAACGTGTCCAGACAATTTGTCTTTGCAGAGCAGGATAGGGAGCCAGGTCTTGTGTGAACACATGGATGGCGTTAGTTGACAGCTGTGCCAGTGCAGAGAAGCCCTTTGCAGAGGCAGCACGTGTTCTCCTGGGCACAGTTGCATGGAAACCTTTCCAACGTGGCTTGGAGCAGACCTGCCTCACGCCTCACCTCCTTGGAAGTGCTGAAGATAACATGAAGCTGTCTGCACCTCTTTATTTAGTCCTGCTACAATGAAGTGATCCCTTGGAAATTCTGTCTTGGCTTTGCAGAGTTTACTTTGCAGTAGATAGCTACAGTTTTGTTTTCAGCTGGAGTAACTTTTTTTGATAGAATGTGTATGTTATTTAAGATATACTTGATAATACTTTCCTGGCTGTGTCCTACGTTGTTCTTGTCATGTTTTATTGTTAATATTATTAAATATGTTTTATTTTACTTTATAGCATCTTTAGAAGCCATTTCTGTCGGGTAGGCAGTCATACCTGAATCATGGTATGTTGCAATTTAAAAGCACATCTGCCATCATAATTTAGTCAGTATGTGTGACACTGCAATAGCTGCAACAAATCTTGTAGCAAATTGATGTGAGGAAATGCACTAAAAGGCTGAAGTTGGAACTTTTGCTGATTTTTCCTTTGACGGTGTAAATATGAAGGAAATAACACTGTTTGAGGAATAGATGCTCAAGGGTGAGAGTAATACCTGGCCAGGAGATGTTACTAATTGTTCTTAAACTTGTCAGTTAGAGTCTATTTTAAGCTGATGAAACTGAAAATCATAAACTTGAGCCTTCACCCAGAACAAAATATAAACATCATGAGAGTGGTTCCTGCCGCTGTTAGTGAGTGTGGTTAATTTTACTTTTCCAGTGGCATTCTTGAAAGTATGCAATTGCTTGTTTGTCCTGAGTCTTGCAGCATCGATATTTTAACTTACTTTTCTTTCTTTTTTTTCTTTCTTTTCTTTTTTTTTTTTTTCCTTTTTCTTTTTAAGAGCATATATGTGTGTGCTGTTATAGTACTTCTGGGATCAAAACTAGTTTCAAGTCCAGGTGTGGTGTTTTTTTAATTCTGTACTTGTTTTTGGAGTAACTGCTTCGACCAATGATTATTTTTGTTTCATACAGAGTTTTTAGGCAACTTATCTTCTGCTTTCTTGGTTTCAACTTTGTAGTCTTAAAAGGACTTCTCCTTCCTGAGTAATTATGTTGGCTAAGATAATACTTAGATGTGTTTTTCTTAGAGCTTATTCTTTTAACCTCCCTATTTAGATTTATTTTTCTAACCTTTTCTTTGTATACTTAATGACCACAGCAACAAAAGAGAGATTAGCTGCCATGACAAAGAATAGAAAAATCCTCTTTTTAACTAGAATTGTTCTGTTTTTGTCTTTCTTCAATTTAGGTCCCAGTTCTTTTTCTTAAAGAAACACTTCCATGTTAGGCCACTTTGGAAACAAAGATACAAAAGAAAGATGTTTGATGTTGTTATGCACCTCTTCCTCAGTGAATGCACTTCTCTTTGAAACACGGTGACCTCTTTCCAGATACGTGCACTGTCACTTTAGCGTTGTGACCTTGTGGTGTCAGAAGACCTCTGAGGAAGTCATCGTGGTTATTTTCTCGGGATCTGGGAGCAGTATGGGTAGGAGAGAAGAGGAGCTTTTCACTTGGAAGAAGTTCTCACTCAGAACTCAGTAGTACAACTCAGAGGTGTACTGTCTCTGCCTCTGAGCAGTAACTGTGCTGGTTACTACCTGCACGCTGCTTTCCACTTTGTGTTGACACTCCCTTTTAAAAAGAGGGCGGTAATTAAATCCTCCCGCGGCTGGCCCGTCCCGCTGGGCCCGTCCCGGTGCGCGGGGCCCGTCCCGCTGGGCCCGTCCCAGTGCGCGGGGCCCGTCCCGCTCCTGGCGATCCCGCGCAGCGGAGCCGCTCCCGAGCGCCTGCGGGCGGCGCCCTCTGCGGGCGGCGCGGCGGAACTGCAGGCGGAGGGAGCCGCGCTCGTCCCTGGGCCCGGCCCGGTGGGATGGGCAGAGCTGCCGCACCTTGGAGCTTTTTGTTTTCAGCTGGCATCTTCCTTCCCTTGACTTCTAACAATTGAGCAGTACTGTTAAGAGCTATTCAGATTTTTCTTGACAGCACCTGTAACCGAACAAAAGTTCTCATCCTTTGATATTTTACAACTTTTACTGACAACTATCAGTAAAGGTAGTAAGTTTGTACAAACAAAAGTGATCTGAGTTTTAGCTGAGAAGACTCAAAATTGGGCCAGGCCTGGATATACAATATATTCTGTCCCTCTTCAGCAACTTGATCACCTTACAACACTTGTTTTGAAAAAAAAAATGTCCCTGCCAGACATTTGGTGTCCCCGAGGACTGTGCATCATCAGTCACTGGGAAGCTGAAGAGTGAGTGCTAGCATTTACCTTAACCCCCACGTGAAAAGAGATAATCTTTACAGAAAGGGACATATAAGACATGTTTTTGCTGTATTTTTAGTATGTTACTTGCAAGTTCCTGAAGGATATTCTGGGGATGTCAGTTGACAGCAGATACTTGCAGTCTGGAGGGAAAAGGTAAGGTGGGAAAGCATCAGTTCTTTCGTGCTGTTCCATCTGTAAGACTGTACTATAATCTGGAAAGCTTTAGGGACATTAGTGGATAAGAAAATTATTTTGTTTTCTTTTTGTTTAGCTCCTGCTTTTCAGTTTAGCCTTTAATAAACATGGAGTTGAAATGAACAAGACAATCCATCTTTCATTGCATGTTGCATGACAGTTGTAGAATTTGGCAGCTTCATTGTAGAATTGCTAATATGGGAAGTATTCAGAGTTCCCACTTGGATGATGGAATGTGCAACAGATATTTTTACATTTCCATACAGTTACAACATACAGTCCTGTGCTTATTAAACCTTTTTACTGTTGCTGATCCATGGTTTTTCAGAAGATCTGTAATTGCCTTTGCCCCAACAGGCTGCTATTTTCAGTTCTCACATATTTCATAAGTTTCTCATATATTTCTCATGTATATGCATGTGTGTGCATGTATATATTTATATATCTCAATTTATGCCATTCTTATACACATGGGGAAAAGGAGCTAAAAATGCTTATGCAGCTTGTATGGGCTAAATGGAACTATTCTAGTAGTCAAAAGGCTTTACAAAATTAATGTCTGACAATCAGAAAAAGTTTTGAAGTAATAGTTAAAAGCAAGAGGATTTACCTCCAATCAGTGTTTTGACACTATGGCTCTGTGGTTTGTTTAAGGAGGGCAAACTAGTATGTTGTCCCAAATCCATCAGTTAGGGGAGAAATGTGAATCCATTCATAATTTGAGATTCCCTCATATTCTAGTAAAAATATTTTAGTTAGGGAGAATTTGCACATTAAGTTAGGGGGAATTGCATATTTCTTGCGTATTTCTGCTATTGTATACTCTGCCTTTTTATTAAGAGTTAATAATATTATTTAATGTTGGCTACTTTTCAGTGTCTCCTGCAGTTTCTGAATGGTATACTCTGTAGGTTTGTTGGAAATGGAGTCTTTGTGGGATGCTCTGCACTTGAATTATTACCTGGACTGAATTTTAAGAATCGAGTTCTTTTGCAGTGCATCACTAGCATGGCTTTCTTCCTCACCTCTCTTGAAGTGGTGATGACATGTGATCAGCTGTATAAAAGGCTGTTTTTTGACTTGGCTGTCATGACTATCTGTAGCTGGTTTTGTTGGAGCAGCTTCATTAAACTTCATGAGCAGAGGAAAGCAAGCTGTCTACTGTGGAAGGTTACTTGGTTTTCTGGTACTGTTAGAACCAGATACTTGTTTTCTAATACTACTCCTAAGGTCTTCACCCACAGAGACTGTTCATGTAATGCCTTCAGGGACTGATACTTATGAAAGGTTTCCACTATTAATGGGAGATCATTTGCCAACGAGTATTCCAACATGCCTTTATGAAATAAAAAAACTGAATGTATTTTGCAGTTCTGTGGCTTTTCTTGGGTATGTATTTGGAGAACTGTTTGTAGCGACTTGTGGAATACCGATACAACACTGCCATCATAAAATTGTATCACAGAACCATGGAATGGTTTGTGTTGGAAGAGACCTTAAAGATCATTTGATTCCAGCTTCCCTGTTGTAGGCAGGGACATCTTGCACTAGCTCAGGTTGCTCAGAGCCCGATCCAGCCTGGCCTTGAATGCTGCCAGGGATGGGGCATTTACAGCTTCTCTGCACAACATGTGCCAGTGCTGCACCACCCACTCTGTATGTCATGGTTGCATGATATTCCTTTCTATAATGTTTGCTAAAAGGCTTCCTATTAATTACTGAAAATGAAGCAGCTTTATGTAATGCTTCTGTGCTTGGAGTGTAACCACTGAGGAATGATTAGCAAGCAGAAAATTGGCCCTCAGATGACTTCTGTTTTTTAATTTGATGAATAGAAGTCAAATTTTTGTTGTCTAATCAAAAGACTTTAATACTACTTGGTAAACAGCTTACTCTCATCCCTCAGGCAGTTGCATTTAACTGGTATGGCAGGATTCAGGTATTACTCATCCAAAAATGACTGGCACACTTTCAAATCTTACATGGCCTTGTTTTCAAGGAGGGGAAGCTGGTTAAATGTCATCAGAGTAGAGAAGTGTACAGCGTGACTGTGTGGTGTGTTCCTGTAATCACTGTAAATCTGAGGCATACTAATGATTTTCAACTCAGTGCAGTAACAACTGCATTGTCAGTTTTTCTAGGATTTAATAATTGTGAAAAACAAATCTTGTAAGAGGGTTTACCTTACCTTCTGAGTCTTTGATGCAGAAAACTCAGATCAATTCTCTGCTGCTTGCAAGGGGAAGAAATGGGAAAGACTCTACCTGATTTCTGTGCAGTTTCTCTTCAGAAATCATTGTTTAGGCATTTAAGATTATGTTTTTCTCTTTTCTTCAGTTTCTAAGGGAAGATATGCAATACAAGGATGCCTCAAATAAACATAGTCACTTGCACAGAGAAGACAAGCATATCACCATTGAGGATCTGTGGAAACGCTGGAAAACATCTGAAGGTAGGTAAAGAAGTGTAGCTGAAAATGGCATCGGTAAAATTCAACAATTTTTCCACCAAGTATAGAGTAGTGAATGAATGACCTCTTGAAGCATCTTCATCAGTCTGTTTTGACACTGTTATTTATAGGCACACATAAATCTGATTAAGAACTCAGCTAGAGGTAATTTCCTCTTCATGTGCTTTGTGTATTGTAAACTAAGTAAACTAAGATAGTTTACATGAGGTTGTAATTTATCAAGGTGATGGTGCAAGTGCTGAATTCCAGATTAGCATGTTTTTGGTTTAATAAACCCTAAGAGTTCCTCCCAAGCTATTTAAATTTTTTAATATAGTATTAAGTGGAAAATTCAATGCACTTTCACTTTGATTTCGATTTTATTTGAGCTGCAAAGATCTAGAATTCTTAGTCCAAAGAATTTTTGAAAAATCTTCTTTACCATGGGATACAGTAAAATGCATTGACAACCCAACACCATCAGCCCTCCCTCACTTTTATTTAAATGAAATAAGTAAGTTGAGCCAACTATTCCAAGTATCAAAGGACAGTATTTGATCAGCACAGTGTTCATTGCCAAATATGTCCCAGGATATAGTGATTAAAAAAGAGATCTGAAATGTTAGAATTGTTAGGAGAAAAATACCTGACTTCCTCAGCCCCTTCCCCACCCCAGCCCTCATTCCAAAGGTGTTGTGCTGTCCTGGCTGTGGCCAGGCCAGGATTAATTTTCAGCAGCAGTCAGGAGGGGGCATGGCTGCAGCCAGGGTGTTATCCTACACCTGCACCCCACGTCATTGCTGGGAGCTGGAACTGGAGTGTCTCTCTGTGCCAGGGAGAGGAGATTCATTCTGGTGGAGAAATATGGGGAACGGACCCATCTGGTATTTGTTTATTGTCAGGGGCTTTCCATGTGAGTAGTTTAGTTTTCTTATACCTTTTGTCATTGTATTGTTGCTCTTATTGTTAATTTTCTTATCTCATTGCTGTTTCCAGTAAATTGTTCCTATCTCGATTTGTGATCTTTACCCTTTGTGCCTCCAATTGGAGGGGGAGGGCAAACTGCACATGTTTGTAAAAGGACTGCTAAATTTGAGAATACCTAAACCACAGCTTGTTCTAATAGTGAGCATAGAGAGATCTAAAACTTAGTATGGGTCAAACAACTGAAAGTAAGAGCAGGAGGGGAATGAATCCAGGAATATGGCCTTGGTTCATTCTGCTAATGCAGGAAGTCACTTAACTGCACTCTGAGGTAATGCATGGAGTGTTTGGAATGTAGTAAATGTTCTGTTTTAACCAGTAACTTTTGGCCTTATCTCTTCAAATATTCCTTAAATACTTATTAACTGAAGATCCTGTTCCCTGAAAGTATTGCAACTAAATTATCAGAAAAAATTATTTCCTCAAAACTGTAGGTGTAAGTCACGAGTAACTGTTAAAAATTTAGGCTATAGTGATTCTAGAAGTATAGTTCGTCTGTTGTGTATATCTTTATTCCAGTGTTCTTGAATGTAGCAAGTAAGACTCAAAAGACTTGGAGAGGAATGTCTCATCTCATTGTGTCTGCTTATAGTGGCTTTATGTGTGTATCCTGCTGAGAGAACTAAAATTGCACCAGAGGGGAGACCCTTAGAATGAGACTCCTGAGCAGTGTTACCAGTGGTCTGCTGACTGTTAGAAAGCATGAAGCCCCTCAGAAAATGAACTACTTTAATTTGATTTTAGGTAACATGGAATATGTTGCCATTCCTTTATATGTTTTAGGAATTTTTGATTTATTTGTTATATGTGCCACTAGTTTATAGAAATTCACCAGCATTAAGCAAGAGGATGGGAGGTAGTGCAAATGATAATATCAGTAATTTGAGACTTTTAAGCAATCTGCTGAGGTATCTGTGTGAGAATTGCCAACTCTATTGCTCCTGACAGTATATACAGAAACATCTTCAGGGTCTACTGCTGCGTAGTTTATGCTGAGTAGAATTTGCCTATTCTTTGCCATAAAGCTTGCTTTATGTGGATGTTTGTCTTAAATATTTGTCAAATAGTTCAAAGGTGTTCTTTGTTTAACATATTGGTGGTGCAAGGCAGATAAGATGTGAGGGAAGAAAGCAAAAAAAGGTCATTGCTGTTTGATGTCTCCTTTTAGGACTAAGGAAAGTAGAGGTTGCTTTTAAATAATTGATTGAAAAGGATTTTATACACTGAATGTAACGCTGAGAATTGGCTGCATTCAAAGCTCTAAAAATTGCCTAATAAAAGAAGGGGCTTCAGAATACTGCTTTTTGGTATTTCTGGCACTGGGCAGGTTTTTGATGTCCCTGCCTGGTGCAGAATCCTTAAGGCACAGTCTAGGCTGGTGCAAATTAAAGGAAGTTCAAGGATGTTACAGGTTTTACCTGCATGGCAGGAGTCATATCATAGCTTGAATCAGCATCTAGCCTCTTGTTGCTGTGTTGCCACTCAGTTTAAAGGACTCCTTTGGTACAAAACAAGACTATAATTTACTTTAGTTAGAATGTGCTTTTTTTGACCTTTGAATTTTTTAAAATCTAATTCTACAGACTGCTCTGTTTAGAGGAGTGACTAGGAACTATCATAGCTGTTTAAAATGTAGAAAACACTTCTCTCTGAGAGTCTTCTGACTTCTATTACTGTTGTTACTTTTCTTTCAATGTAAATGCCTGTATATGTGCTTGTTGTATGGTATTCTTTGTCTCCTCTTCAAATAAGCAGTATTATACATGTACTGCAGAGCCTTTCAGCTATTCACAAGTAACAAACTTAATAGCTACTGTTAGGTTAATATCAAAGGTGTAGTATTTTTTCTGCAAAGGCCTTGAAGAGGTAGTAGTTTTGAGTGTGGAAAAGGGGACAGATGAACATTTGTTCATCTGTTCATCAGTATTTATTGATGTCTGAATAGCAGTCTTTGTACAATTATCTCTGGAAATTCTCTCACTCAGTAGCACCTGCTGTCTCTCTTTGCCCTTGTAATGGGCTGTGGTTGTGTGAATTTGCTGTCTGAAGAGCAGGGTGTAGGTATTTAGTCTCAGTAGCAAGAGGGCTGTAAGATCAGTCCAGAGCCTTCAGCTGGGTGGTTCTCTGACCTGTCTCAGAGAGTAGGGCTGGATGCTGCATCCTTAGTGATGCAGAATTGTCCCTTGGGACTTGATTTTGTAGCCAAGTAAAAACTGTTCAAGTCAAACCTGGAGCTCATGAATGCTTGGCTATTGTCAGACTAATTTGAATCCTATCAAAACCTAGTTGTTACAAACAGCCTAAAAAAAAAAGTTCTTTTTTTTACCATTATGGCATATTTGAGCTTTAATGTATAGTATCTACTATGGACTGCCCTATAATAAAAAAAACCTTCTTGCCTTCTATGCGTACCTTTTTTACACTTTAATTCTCTTTCTCTCTTTGTGGAAAACAGGAGGTGAACTAAAGTCTGGTACAGTATTTATTAGGGTAAAAAGCTACAAAAATGGCTTTATATTTGGATGTGTGATCACCTGTTATATTCTGATGTACTGCTGCACAAGTGTTCTTGCAGCAACTGGGACTAAACTGTATACCTCAAACATGTTGTGGTTGCCTTGCTCTCTAATCATTTGCTGTCTCAGGTTTTAAATATCTGGAGGTTGGAAATGAATGCAAGCAGGGCTTGGCTAAGGATGAGTTAGTTACATAATGCTGCATACTGCTGATGTTACTGCTGAAGGTCGTAGAAACTAAGTTTTGAATCCTTTTGTGTGATATGAGAAATTTAACATGATGATAAATGTAACACAAGAAACTGATAAATAGCCTGACCTTTTAATTACTGTGGGTTAATAATGAGAAACTTTCATACAGGCCCAGTTAAAGTTACTTTTGCTGTCTTCACCTTCAGGTATGTTGGTAGAAGAGTTGAAAAGAAGTAGAAAAAACCCCCCAAACTCAAACTTGTGGTCTGAATATAATAGCTGATGGAGGGCTAGAGACTGAGTACTGCTCTTCTATACCTGCCTGCCCAAAGCATGTTGCTGACATCCTCTCTCTGAAGGCATCTCTTTGTAAAAAGAGTTGTGAGAGAGAAGAATGTTATAATTACTCTGTAATGCTATATGCATTTAACTTAGAGTAATTGTGGATTGCTACTCTGCTGTCTGAAGTATACTGCTTTCTTTTTTGGTGATAAACTAAGGAAAAATTACAGCCTCAGCTAATTGGTGTGAGTTGGCACCTTGTAATTGGCGGTGCTGATCAAGATGAGTTTCAGCTGCCTTGCTTGCCCTTCAGTACACCTGGTCCTGGTGTATATCACACTTGCCTCGTGTCATGTTTCAGTGCTTCTCGTGGAGAAGGGCCAGTTTGCTTTTCAGTACTTTATGCTGTTGCAGAACAAACATATCTGTATGTCATGAAGTCTTAGTGGAGACAAGTCAAGTAATACTCCTGACCAACACATGGTGTATGGAAGTTAACAACAAAAAGAAGCAGTCTGAATGTTTTCACTGATTGATAGCATAGGAAAGTAAGAACAGTGTAGTTTAGAGTCTGAGTCCACCTGAAAAATTTGGGGATCTGGGGGCACTGACACTGGACTTCTGTGAATGAAGAATTAGTTTACATAATAAATCTAAATTTCTTGCAAAATATGTATGTGAAAAGAGATTCAGATGTTGACATCCCAGAGTAAGAGATAACAGTATATATTCATAGCTTAAATGGTTGAGTGGTCAGTTAAAGGACACAACACAAATAAAGAAGGTAATTGATGTTATTTTTAATAAATGAGTAACAGTGTAAGAGTACAGAGAGTACAAGTTTCAGTTCTAGTTTAGGATTGACTGTGGTTACTTCTTTTTGCAGTTTCTGTACTAATGGAGGTATCTGGTACAGTGACAATAATGAATAATAAAGTGCTTTTTCCAGAGTGTAACTGATCTGTTTGGGAAAATTTCATGGATAGTCTATTAAGAAAACATCACACCAGTCTAAGCAGTGCAACAGATGTGATTTGCTCTATGGTAAACCACTTAAATGTGTAGCTAATTCCTTTCAGGATAATGTTTAGTCTTACCACTGGATTATAGAAACCTATAAATTTATGTAAAATTTGGCAGAGTGTCTACAAAATTCTTTCATCAGTAGAAGTGAAAAGTCTCAATGGTATTTTTAACCCTTGCCCGTGCTTACAAACTCAGTGAATTGTGTAGCTTCTGAAATGGAGTGTTCTGTAGTGTCAGTGATAGTCTGTAGTGTGCAGTGGCCTTTTTAGGTGGCTTTTTCTCATGTCACAACAAAACAATGCTTTTAGTTTGGATCAGTCGTGAACATATTTCTAGAATGCAGTTAAGGTGATATCTTTCTGGAGGATTTTACCACTGTTTTGATACTTGTAATGACCAGCCAAATGACTTTGAATGATTTGTAAATTGGATTGCTTATTATTCACATAACAGTGTTAAGAGTTTTTGCAATGGGGAAACTACCTATTTATAAATGGAGCCCAGATATTTTGCATAAAATCTTAGAGTAATGTGGTAAATTGTAATATTGTAATATGACAAAACCAAGTCTGTGTCAAATCAATACCTGACTGTAGCTTACAGGGACAGAAGGAAATGGGACAGCAGACTGGGGAGGTTGTGTAGCCATTCATATGGATGGATTACAAGAGGTTTGTACTGAGTTTGTTTTTGAAGCTGTGAGTCTGTGAAATGTGTTCTGTCTCCACCTATCAGGAATGATAATAATCCTAAAATGTTTAAGCTTATTTTGCAGCTGTGCTAGTGTGGACAAGAGACCTAGAAGTCCTTATTTCATTTACAGTGTGAACTGAAATATGAATTTGAACTCATAAAAATTTCCATTGCCTGCAGCTTTACCTGTCAAGCTTTCAGCAGTGCTTCCTAAAGGATTATTGTCAAAAGTCACCACTGAGAATGTGTCCTATCATCTGTGCCTAGCACTGTCACATGGAAGTAGTGCTAGATAGAGAAATGTTCAAAAAACCCTCAATTTTTCATTTGAATACGTCTGTCCAGAAAGAGACCATCCCTGTTTCTTTCCTATGCAGACAGACTTTTGCAGACTATAAATGGAGTGAAAAATTTCCCTTCAGTTTTGTCAGTGAAGCTGCAAACTGCAGCAGCTGCTCTGTAAGGGACAGAAATGTGATTTTTTCTTTTTTTTTTGGTAGTATCTGTGGGTAGTATTTTCTTAGCACATCTGTAGCTATGAATGTTTGTGTACAGTATTGCTTTTATTAAGGAAAATTGTTAATTATTCTCTACATTATTAGTATTTTTTTGTAAAGTATTTTTGCATGTTATTCCACTTTTCTTGGGCATGTTTGAGGGAGATTTAATAGCTTTCCTGTTACATTTCTTCTGTCTTTTGGTGTTTTCTTTCAGTCTCCTCTCTCCTTCTCTTGTCAGCTCCTATTTTGTGGTTAGAAGGCATGAGCCTCTAAGAAAATTCTTGTCAAAATAAGTTCTTGAGGCATCATCCTGGGGAAGATCTTGGTACATTGCCTCAAGTGGTTACAGCACCAGCTGATGAGTGTTTAGTTCTGCAAGGGTAGTGAGCACAAAGGGGCTGGAATCACTTTAAGGAGTTGAAAGTCACAAGATGCTGTCCTGATTGAAACTAAAGCAAACGACTCAATTGTTCTGTGAAAGTTTTAGTAAAGAAATACTTCTATTGGTTCCATGCTTGTTTATTTATAGTTTGCCTAGGCTTTCACAGGGGAGCATGTAATGAAAAAGGCAAAATGCCAGAAACACCTTGGTAATGCTAATTTTTCTGGAATTATATTTGCCTAAGCTCTTCTGGTTATTGTAACCTGCTTTTCTACTGCTTGTCTTCTAAGCTGTTGATTTTTTAGTAAAAACCTAAGGTAATTGAATTCTTCTTGCAGTTCATAACTGGACTCAAGAGGACACTCTTCAGTGGCTCTCAGATTTTGTTGAATTGCCCCAATATGAAAAGAATTTTAGAGACAGCAATGTCAATGGAACAACACTTCCCAGGTAAATATATCTTCTGGATTAGTTTCAAATAATTCCCCATAGGTTGCTACATTAGTTTAAGTGGTAGGAGCAACTATGTGAACCTAAAGTCTAGCAAGGTACAGTCAAATGCAGGAAAAGAGAAGTGTCCTTGTAGTTTTGAAGAGGTGGCTGCAGTTTTTTTTCTGCCAGAATATTTCAAAATGCAACTTCCCTAAAAGTTTTATTTCTTTCTGTGGGCCTTATCAAAGGTCACATAATTCTATGTGGTAGCAAACTTCCTTTTGAACATCTTCTGATTTATTGTATGGGTATATGCTGCTATGTAACTCTAAAATACCTTACCTGGGGCATAAATACCACACCTGAGCATTGCATGTATTTAGGAGTTGGTGTCACAAGTCTGTGAATATACCTTTAACTGTACAGAATGGGTTTATTTAATGATTTTTTTCCAGAAAGAAAAGAATAGTTAAATGACTTTATTTTCTTTTTTTGCCACATGCTGATATGCATTTCTATAGCATTACTGCTGTATTGTATTTCTCAATTGCATAGCTGTAATCTGTGTAACTGTGGGAAATGCTACTGATGTCTTTTTTGCATAGAGTGATTTTGAATATAGTTTATGGAATAGGTAACATTTTGTCTTGTCATTAACAGGATAGCAGTAAATGAACATGCTTTCATGATCTCTCACTTGAAAATAATTGACCGGAGTCACAGACAGAAGCTTCAGCTTAAAGCCTTGGATGTTGTTTTGTTTGGACCTCTCACTCGTTAGTAACTTTTTGGAGTTTTTTTCTTATCTCTTGATTGTAGGAATTCAACAGAACATATTTTCCATGACACTTGATAGTGTAGATAGGACAGCTTATCTATTTTGTGGATGTGCTGATGAATTGCTTGGCATGCGTTGTGGAACTCTGCAATGAATTAAAAAAAGTTATTTATGTGCTGTGAGCAGAACAAAGGTTCACTTCTGTGTGTAAGATCGTGTAGAAATTTTAGTATAACCTCACTTGACAGATGGGTGTTGGCTTTTGTGTCACAAGACGTGTCCTCTAAATATTTTTGACTGTTTAAATTGCATTTATGGCTAAGGTTACATTCATTTCTCGGTTAGCTTGGACAGTACAGCTGGGATGCTGAAATGAGAGGGGATGACTTTCCCCAAGAAGAAAAAATGAGATGGTGATGCAAATCCAACACCTGTGTTTTGTGCATACCTGAGTTTAAGTGCAGTTAAATTTAATGCAGGAGTTCCACATCTGACCCATTTTACCATATGCAGCCATGTCCATAGCTCATCACCGGTGCTCTGCATGCCTGCTTGTACACAGTTACAGCTCTGCTCTGGTGCTGTGCATGTCAGGTGCTCCTGAGCTACTCAGGCCAGATCTGAGCTGGAGTCACTTTGTGTTAGACCTTTAATGCTCACAGAAACTGTCTTTACAGAGGTGCAAGTGACTTTAAAATTTGTACTAACAAAGATGTATTATGTGAATCTTGAATCTGATAATTTGACAATCCAACTTTTAAAAAGTGCTGCTGTTACCATTTTGATTTTTCCCAAGTGCATTTTTAACTTAGCATAGGGTATTTAAGAGGGTGCAGACTGGAAAGAACTTGCTCAAATCTAATTACACCTCCTACTGGCCTGATGCAGTTGTGGAACTCTATTTTAACTCTAAATAAAGGTACTGAGTATGTACTGTGAAGGGGTTTAGTAAGCTTTTCTCAGTCTAATGAATGTTTTAGTATAGATGAAATAAATTTTATTAGAGCAGACCTGCTTATGTTGTATGAAAATGCTGTGGAATACATTTGAAAAGGTAGTTGTTGGAAGTGGTTTGAGATAAATGAGCTAGAATTCTGTTTAGCATTAGGTTCTGTCACCTTTTAGGCTGGGGAGAGGGGGGGAAGGCCTTAATCTGTTGTCTGTATCAATGAACTAGTTAATGATGGTGTTGTTCTCTGCACAGGTCCCCCTCACAACTGGATGAAGGATTTTATATTAACAGTTTCTATAGTTATTGGTTTTGGAGGCTGCTGGTTTGCATATACACAGAACAGAACCTCAAGAGAACATATCACAAAAATGATGAAGGACTTAGAAAGTCTCCAAACAGCAGAGCAAAGTCTTCTTGACTTGCAGGAAAGGTATAAAACCTAAAAGAAAAAAAAAGTTGTCCTTTTGTTTTGAGGTTAAGCACAAATGCAGATCCTTTACAGTCTTATGTTTTTTGCATTAACTGCTTTTGGATTGTGTTCATCTTCCCTTTGCATGGAAATTGTGATTTCAGTGGTGCTGATTTCTTGGGTAGAGATTGCTCCTGGATATTTTAGCAGGCAATACAAACTTGTGGATGAAGGTAGAGAATAGAGGCTGAGGTTTTCCTACAGATTTACATGTATGTATTGTTGTTTTCATATAATTACAGTTTATTTTAAATAGTTACATACATGGGAATGAGAACACCTTTTCTCTTTTTAAGCTTTTAAGATTGAAACAGACCTGAGCTGTTTAGTTTCTATTGCATATATAGCAGCGTGAAAGCTGATAGTCTGTGGTGCACCTGTAACACAGTTGTCTATAGAGATTTGTATTATGATACTACACTTTTAATGACAGTTCACTTAAAGTTTGGGTATTTTGCCTGGCATGGATATCACGTTGTGTGATGTAATTGCTGCTGATTCATGAAGCTTGCAGAGTCTTTATTATCACAGAGTGGTTGAGGTTGGAAGAGACTTCTGGAGTTCATCTTGTCCAGCCCCTCCTGCTCAAGCAGGTCCATCTAGAACAGGTTGCCTAGGACCATGTGCAGGTGGCTTCTGAATATGTCCAAGGATGGAGACTCCACCACCTCTCTGGGCAACCTGTGCCAGTGTTCAGTCACTCTCATGGTGAAAGTGTTTCCTGATGTTCAGATGGAACTTCATGTGCTTTGGTTTGTGCCCGTTGCCCTGTTGCTGGATGCATTTTGTTATCCTGAGGACTACAACTTTTAACAAATATGCTGTATATTTTCTCATATTTTTTGTTCAATTCTGAAGGCTTGAGAAGGCACAAGAAGAGAATAGAAACGTTGCTGTTGAAAAGCAAAATCTGGAGCGCAAAATGATGGATGAGATCAATGATGCAAAACGTGAAGCTCATCGCCTCAGGGAATTGAGAGAGGGAGCTGAATGTGAGCTCAGCAGGCTCAAATATGCAGAGGAAGAGTTAGTACAGGTATCTGCCAGCTGTTAATAAATGTAGTGTTGACTTTAAATTGGTCCTAGTTTTATTAGATCCTCAGTAGTGTTTAAAACAGCATTCCCCAAATGCTGGATTTGAATGGAAAAATTCTAAGAGTTCTTAATGATTGTCAGTCATGCCATTATCTAGTAAAATAATCCTGAAAATATTAGAAGCTGTAAACTTTGTATATTAGCTTATCATAATATTTTGGGATTCACAGAAAAAAAATACACAAAAGCTCTTTTTATCTTGTTATTAGAAGAGAGAGAGTAGCTTTGTTTCATCTGAGCAGCAATAAACTTGGATTTTTTGTACTAAAAAAATTATCATCTTACAAAAATATTTAAACTTTGAATTAGGAACTATATAGCATTGGAAAAAATATGGAAGACCATATGCTAGATTTCAGAGCTGCCAGATCTGCATACCTGACAACAACCAGCACACACCAAAACTCTGTCAAGCTTTGCTATTTTGCTGTGGGCTATAAAGGTGCTTATAATTCACCTGTTAGTTCTAATTATGCTTTTGGTGACACTTTCATTTCTTCTTGATTGCTAGGTTCGTATGGCTTTAAAAAAGGCTGAGAAGGAGTTTGAGTTGAGAAGTAATTGGTCTGTTCCTGAAGCTTTGCAGAAGTGGCTTCAGTTAACACACGAAGTTGAAGTACAATATTACAATATCAAAAGACAGCATGCAGAAATGCAATTAGCAATTGCTAAAGATGAGGTAATAAATTATTCTTCAGCTACTTAAAAATTTTTCTGATCTGTTGCTAGAGATATGAAATAGTAAACACAAAGCAGATAAGCATTTGTGTTTTTTCTCTGAATTGTTGTTTGCTACATGTCAATATTGCTAATGTTTTGTCATCTGTTAAGTATATTACTAGTTTTATGCATTTCACTTTACTTTGCTTTTTAGGCAGAAAAGATAAAAAAGAAGAGAAGCACTGTATTTGGAACACTACATGTTGCACACAGCTCCTCCCTGGATGAAGTGGACCATAAAATTCTTGAAGCAAAGTAAGAGGGTTACTGGGAGAGGATGCATATTCTTTTGTGATTATTTGCTTCTGGAACAGAACTCCCGGAGAGTTACGGAATTGAGTGTCTTAGTGGTTTTGCCCTTTACAAAAGCAATTTAAAAAATACTAAAATGTGAATATTTCAACAGCTGTAATGGTTCTTCTGGTGTGCTGAACTGAATGTGTTGCTTTGCTTTATCAATAAGTACAGTGTATATAATTTTAATATGTGCCTTTTTCAGGAAAGCACTCTCTGAGTTGACGACGTGTTTGCGGGAGCGTCTTTATCGATGGCAGCAGATTGAGAAGATTTGTGGGTTTCAAATCGCACACAATTCTGGGCTACCAAGCTTGACCTCCTCTCTCTACTCTGATCACAGCTGGGTAGTTATGCCTCGAGTTTCCATTCCTCCCTACCCCATTGCAGGGGGAGTTGATGACTTAGATGAAGACACTCCTCCAATAGTTTCACAGTTTCATGGTAAGTGATGAGCTCAGTAAAAAGAAAGGGGAAAAATTGTGGGACATGGGATTTTCAAGTCAGGTGGGAGAAGAGTACTGAAATCAAACAGGATTAGATCAAAGTCAAAAAGACCAAAATTCTATGTAGGATTTCAGATACTAGCTCCAGTGGGACTTAAATGGCAAAGTGGGTTTTGCACTAAAGATAACATGAAGAAAAAGCCTCTCTTTTGTTTCAGTGGGGGAGTGGGGCAAATTCAGCTAAGGTTTTGAAAGTGGTTGTCAACCTTGGATTGCTACTTAAACAAAAGTTTGTAATGAATCATTCTGAGTTTGTTAGCTCAGATGGAAGGGATGAGGTTAGTCCAGGGTTCCTTGAGCTATGAGAAAGATCACATCCTTTGGGAGGCCGCATGCTACATAGCCTTGTGCACATTCTTTAGTGGTTGGAACAAAATCCTGTTGTTGTTCAAGGGAAGCTTTCAGACAGAATGTTTGTGTTTGGATACAGTGGGTTGGTTGTTTGAGTGTCCGTTGGAGAGGCAGAGTTCTGGAGGGAGAGAAGTCCAGCTTTGGTTAAACTATGATCAGAAGAAATACAGTGGGGATTCAGACCACCCTTGCATCATGAGTCATTGTGTCAGAACAAGAGCCTGCTTCATGGAGCTTGTGATTAACTGGACTCCAGAGGCAAATCGAAAAGATGAGCTCCCATGCAGTTATTCAAACAAGCTGTTTGAAGCTGAGGAATGAGTAGAAAGGAAAACTGTCATGTGGCTACATTTTTCTTCCAGGGCTGGGATTCTCAGAAGAAATTCAAACTGTATTTTAAAATAGCATAAGGTCGCCACTTTGCTGGCTTTACTTGGTATGCCTTGGGCACTGGTTTTTCTTCTTAATGTACCAACCTTTTTTTCTGCAGACCACAGTGAAAAGTTCATTAATCCTCTTGCAACTTACTGCAAGTTCTGATCACTTTTAAGGAATACTGTTTCTCTAGTTGTCTTCAGTGCAAATACTTTGATTTAAACCCTAGCAACAAATTTATTGGAGACCCAATGAAATATGGATTCCTAGAGTTAAGCACCCAATTCTGTATTGAGAAGCCTGTGGTCTGATTTCAAAATGAAGAGCTCCATTTATTGTCATGATTTTCCAGATGGTCTAAAATGACAACACTTGGATATGTGTAAAAAACTTCAGACTTGTGAGTTGTTTTAGTCACTCTTCTCATTTAACTCTTGCTTAGAAGTGAAGCCAGAGAAGAAAGTGCAGTTGATTCAAAGGAATTACAATTAGAAAAGGACTGTACTGTTTGTAAGAGCATACTTAGCTGAAACTTTACTGTATGAGGAAAATATGCTAAATGATCTGTTGTTGAAACTAGTGTTGAGGAGTCAAATTATTGTAGGTTAGTTCAGTAAATACTGAATTATTGCCATCCTTTAGACAAAAATATCAAATACACACGAGGAAGGACAGAAGCATAATGGCTTGTCTTGGTCATGAGGCTTCAGGCAAAATGCGCTGTGCAGGAGGTCACTTAAGAAAGGGGCTATTTCCATCACTGGATCTAAAGTGGACTGGGATATTGCCTGGCCCCAGCATCCTTTGGACTCATAAACAAAATTTGAAGTGACAAAATTTGAAGTCTGTTGGACAGGCTTCTTTGTGCCGGAGCAATTGCGTTGATAGGCGTATATGGTGTCAAGTAATAGAGCTGTTTGATCAATCTCAAGTTGAAGAACAAAAATGGATTGAGAAATAGTGTCTGACACTGGAAAAAAGTCCTTGCAGCTGGAAGGTAGTAGTGAAACTTCTATTTTTCCATTGACTCATTAGGATTCAGCTGGTTCCTTGATTTAGTGAACTTCATTTGCACTGGAAAATTCTACATGTTCAATTGTCATAGCTGACTTCTTCATATCCCGGTGTATATACGCCTACAAAGGATCAAAATGCTTGTTACTTCTCTGAAAATTCACCGATGGTGCAATCTTGGTTTTTTTTTTTTTGTTCGGTTGGTTTTTTGTTTCTTTGTTTGTTTTGGGTTTTTTTTTTTTTAATGCCAGTAAGTAGGATGGTATCTGATCTACCTGGACCTGTAGCAAAATTTCCTAGAGAGATTCTTGCTCTCTTATCTCAATTCACATTTGCTCTTTGAGGATTTTTTTTTTGTAATTACACAAGATAATTTTTGAGCTCCTAACATGCTTTTACGGTCAGTAGTTAAGTAAGTAACTGCATCTTTTAGTAAGTACTGTTTAGATTTCCTGTACTAAAAGAGAGTGGACAACTTGTCCTTTTCTGAGATTCCAGGAAGGGAAACTGTAGCTTATATGATGATAAACTGGCATTGCAGAAAATAAAATGTATTTTGTCAGGCTAGACATCCTGGTCTACAGAAATAATTGAAGGGATTTTTAGCGTGTTGTGGTTGCTAAACAATTTTGAACACCAGTAAAGGTCTGGTGTATCTTACATAAGCAGTGTTGCATTCCATGGGACAGTTTGAGGAGGGGTGTGAAAATCCTGAGACTTGTAACAGCTAGCCTGGAAAGAGGTCTGTAGATTTTTTTCTGTACAAGTATTGCTGCCTAATAATCTTTTGAAGGAGGAATTGGATTAAGAACATTTGAGTTTATCACTTCCTGTTGGGTACTTTGCTGATGAAGTCTTGCGTGGCTGTCTCCACCCATTCTTAGTATTTTTCCTTCCAGAAATTCATAGTTAGCCTGGCAACAGACAATGTTATCTAAAAGAAAGTTCTTGATCTTAAAGTTAGGTTGAATTATGTAATTTCTGTCAAGTTGTGTAAATGAAATTGGTCTTCTCTATCTAGCCTATTTTTCAAGTAGTGTAGTGTATATCAGTTGGCTGTTTGGCTAGTCGTACCTACATTGCAAAACTTTTACATTTTTTTCTAACCTCCAAATCACCACACAAAATACAGGACATTGTGTAACATACTAATTTCAGCACTGCTGTTTTTAGTTTATGAAGGGTTGGGAGTTTCAGTAGAATCTTTCTTTTTGTTCTCAAGAGAGCACAGTGAGCCAGAGCTTTGGTGTACTTGGTCAGGGTAGTATTTGGCAGGCACAAAATCTCTGCAGTTGCATCTTGATTAGCTGCTTCATCTAACTGTAGAATGTGTGAGGTGTGTCAGTCTTTGTTCCTCTGAAACTGTCAAGCAATGTCAAAGTTGTTTAAAAGTCACTGTCGCCGAAGCAGATACCTGCTACTTAGTCTTCAGAGTAGATACTGTTAACATCAATGTCACTTGGAGGGTTTTGGTTTGCTTTTTCTCTGTCTCAGGGTCCATTGTAAAAGCTCCCAGCACTCTGGCAAGAAGCAGTAGCTTGTGTAGATCAAGACGCAGTGTTGTGCCATCATCTCCACAGTCTCAGCACGCTCTGCACTCCCCTGACCCTGACATCCTCTCTGTGTCGAGCTGCCCAGCTCTCTATCGAACTGAAGAGGAGGAGGAAGCCATTTACTTCTCTGCTGATAAACAATGGTACGGAGATTAGCAAACAGCACTTGCAACTCTTGATAGGATTATTGAGACTAACAGTTTAGAATTAGAGGTTAAACCAAGCCAAAAGTTAAAGTAATCTGTAGGATGATATAAATTAATATAGTCTACGTGGAGCAGAGAGTTCTTGTCTGGTATGTGTATGTAAATAGCTAGCATGTCATGTACAGTTAAGTAATGTTACAATCCAGGGTGCACTGAACTAACCCTGATTCTCCATTACAATATGTTACTGGCTCTTACATCTGAAACTAGGATCAAAAGCAATGTCAGCTACTGGGCGAAGAGGAGATGGATGGTAACACAATTCTTACAGCATGTTGAGCGTGTACCTACTCTTGTTACATGGCCTCATAGGAAAAGGTTAAATTCCTTTTGGAAGGAGCAAATGAGCTTGTTGAAAGGTAGGGACACTTGTCCTGAAGAAACTTTTTGTATATGATAGGCTTAAATCTCCTTCTTTCATTTCATAACTTTTCCGACTTCACGTGCCAGAAAGATAGCCTTTGTTCTTTGAAGTGAAATACAAATGACTGTTTCTGGGCGGATGCTGCTGCTCACAAAAGCAAGATTGCACAAACTAATTCCCTTAAGTTTAGATAATAAAATGATGTAATGCAAGTTGTAACTTAAAATGTTTAACTTAATTTTTTTTTTGTTTAATTAACTACTAAGGAAAACTGTGGGTGGTGCTTTTAGACTAATGTTATTGATTCTGAATTAATTTCCTTTTTAACTCTATGAAGACAATTGTAGTTTCATTATGTTTTCTTTTCTCTCTGCTCTGACTCAGGGAAGTACAGGAAACAGGTTCGGAATGTGACTCCTTAAATTCATCCATTGGAAGAAAACAGTCTCCTCCAGCAAGTCTTGAGATGTACCAGACAATTTCTCCTCAGAAAGTATCACCAGAAGAATTTTCACTGGAGGAATCATCTACGGGAGACTCCTCTTCTCTGACTGCAGATGTTTCTAGGGGCTCTCCTGACTGCGTAGGCATGGCAGAAACTAAGAGCATGATCTTTAGTCCTGCAAGCAAAGTTTATAATGGAATCCTGGAGAAGTCTTGCAGCATGAACCAGCTTTCAACTGGGATCCCCGTCCCAAAGCCTCGTCACACCTCGTGCTCCTCGACCGGCAGTGACAGCAAACCCAGCCATGAAGCTGCTTCTGTCCCCAGGATAAGCAGCATCCCACAGGACCTCTACCAGAATGGTGAAAAAAATAAAAAGCCATCAAAAATAAAAAACCTCTTTAAGAAGAAGTGTAAGTGAGGTGGGCAGAAGAGAACCTATAGTAATATTATGAGAACTCTGTTTTTTAAATCTTTAGGAATGTAATTCCATTTGAGCATCCCAGAGTGGATGCCCCAATGGAATACTCTGTAGGTCACCTATATTTAATGACTGTACTGTCAACGGTTGTGCCAGCTGTCAATGAGAAATCATTAAAACGTTCAGACAGTTTACATCCATTTCTGCCTATTTATTTCTTTATTTTTTTAGGTTGTCTTTTTCAGCTTTTTTTTTTTTTTTTTACTTTGATTTGTTGAACTTTTTAAAGTTTATTCATAAACCATTTTTAAGCCGCTCTGGACTCCTAAGCTTTAATGGACTAGTAAGCCTTCCTGGGCTTGCCAAAGTTTCTTGTTTACTGGAGCATCTTCCTATCTTTCCATAGAAGTAGGACATTTATCTACTGGACTTTAAGGAAAATAAAAGAAGTAGAACTAAATGAATTGCACTACTATTTTACAGACTGGAACAGTCTCTGCAAGTGAAACTGAAAGACTTGTATTTGACTGAGAAGATGAATCTTTTCACTTTTAGATCTTTTGGGGTTTTTAAGTAAAATTTAGCATTTCTAATTGACTTGATTTCTGGAAATGGAAATGTCATGCTTTTATTATGGGGAGCTTTGTTAGATGCATTTATTATTAGAATGGTTCAAGTCCTGCTGTAAAGATCATTTTTTTCCCAGGACTTTCACTGTGATTTTAATTCACTGCAGGCTGTATGAGAAACAAACAAAAAAAAAAAGAAAAAAAGAAAAAAAAAGAAAATAATAAATTACCAAGAGAACAGGCTCTTGATTCCTTATGCAAGATGGTTGTGAAACTTCACTGAAGACTGAAAAAATTCACCTCTGAAAATGAGGAGGGGGAATAGTAGCTTTTGTTTACAGATTGACAGACAATGGACATTTGGGTTGTGAAAGTTTGTACTGTGGTAAAGATAATAAATTGGAAACATTATTGTGCTTGGGAATGTTCCAATTCTAGCTGATGCTTGTTTCAGACATGTTTCAGAGGTCCTGTTAATTGGAAGCTGTCGTAGGCTACATTGCTTATGCTTATTGCTGTGTATAAGTTATTATATTTTTTGAATTAGCTATTATTGTCTTAATGTCCTCCTTTTGTAAGATTTCATACACTTTATTTTTGTATAGTTTGAAGATTTAGCTGTTCAGAGATGTCTGAAGTAAATGGTATAATTTTATAATGCATACTGTTATACTAACTCATAATTTTAGATATAAAGATAGATATAAAGGTGAGATGACATGCTTCAGATAAAAGAAATTTTTGTGAAGCTTTTTTAGGGAGAGGTGAAATTACTGTGAGATAACAAGGAAGCCTTCTTAGGGTAGCAGTAGCTAGGTGTTCAAAACCATATTTTTATTTTTTTTTTTAACAGTTGGAGACAAGAAATATATGGCTTAAGCAACAGTGCCTTTTATTCAGTTTGAAAATATTAATATACTGAGCAGGAATTTCTTCTGAGGTACATTCCAAGGAAATATCTCTTGCTCTAGTCAACAGAAGCAGTTTACCCAGTGATGACTAAACAGTCTCAGATCTTCCACAGGGGTGTTCTCATTGCCTCAGGAGCAGGTGCCACCGCCAGGGACTTGTGACTGGGGGCTCACTTCTTGCCACTATGTATGTGATGTACTGTGTGAAAGAATTATTCACAGACTGCCTACATTTTTTCTAGTAAGGAGCCTTCAAAACCTGTAGCTAATTGAAATCAAATGATATGTGTCTTTTCTATCATTTTCTATTTAGGTTTCACTGTACCTACCCAATGCGTTTGTTCTCTCCTCAAGAAGTGGTGGTGATTTTAACAGATTGACTGTGATTAGTGACATGGCTGAAAGAGAAGGGTTATAAAATGGGGTGGAGACCTTGCATTTGCAAGCACTTTACATGTCCTGGTACCTTGGTTAATTCCTTAAGAGAACAGAAATAATCCAGAGTTTTGTTGTCTAACAGAGACTGATTGTAGGCCATCTATGCAGAAAATCATGGGACAAATCAATTCTTTGATAAAGTTTGGCGAAGAAAAAATTAGTGGAATAGAAAATAATGAGAACATAATATTGTTCCATTATTCTCTGAATCATCAGATTGACCAGCTGTAGCTTCAAAATAAAGCAATTGCAAGGTAGCAATGGTCTCTTTGAACAAAGATTCTGCACTCTGTACATGGCAGACAGCAAAAAGCAGTGATGAAAAAAGACTTGTGCCGAAGAACCACCTCGATGCTGAGCCTTCCAGAGCTGTAGCTTAAACCCTGATGGAGTACTTGAACATCTACAAAGGGAACAATTACTTTTATGCAAGTAGGGAACTTCCTGTGCCTCCCAAACAACATGGAGAAGACTACTACCAGAAAAACCTTGGTGCACTTGAGAAGGCCATAGCAATAATTGAGTTTAAAATAAGATCTGGGGCTGGATAGTAGATCTTGGTGTGAGGTTTGAGTAACTCTGTCTCTATCATTACCAAAAAAGATGAAGTGGCATTTTGGTACTGGAGAGTAAACATTTACACATGGAGAAAAAGCTGGTACTGAGTAGTAGAAGGGCAGCACTTCTTAATTCTGATATCAAAACTCAAATGTTGAGAAGCCAGAACAGACAAATTCAGTTTTCTGTAGTAAGTGTAGCTAAAAGTGAAATAGAGGAGGTATTGAGCTCTTTATTGGCTGAGAGTTAGTGCTAAGTATATTTTTAAAAAAACAATTTAACTATTTTCTGGTAAAAATACTTCTTTGTACTGTGCAAACAAATCAGATAAGATTATCATAGTGGTAGATTTTAGCTTCAAAATGGCAAACCTTTGGAGCACAGACAACTCTCAACTCAGTGCATCACTGGCTGTAACTTTATAGCTGCTTTTTAATAGAGAACAAAAAGCTTAAATGAATACAATCAGAAGTGGTGAATATTATATGTTGGAGGACAAACAAATTCTACCTTAATGTGGTTTATTTTTTATTATTTTAATAGCCACTTGCATTTCTAGCCATTTAAATTTGTCCACAATGTAAGTGGCCTCCATGGCTCCTCCTGCAGAAATCCCCATCTTTAAATGGTTCGAGTCTTGTTGCTGAGGGATGCTGAGAGCACTGGCTCTGAGGCAGATCTTCACTGGCAGTCATCAAATCCAGTCTTAGCATTGAAGTACCTGGCACACATCTGTTATGAAATAACAGGAAACTGAATCTCACATCCAGATCGAAGAATGAGACCATGTGCCTCAGAAGGTTCTCTGTTCCATTTGCTGCCAGTGTGACTTGAACGTGCTGGCAGTCAGTGAGTGCAGCCAGCATTCCAACCACCAGGATTCATAGGGAGTATCAGTCACTTGAGACAGTCAGCTAGTGTCATTAGAGATTGGTTTGTGGGGTTTTATTTTGTTTGTTTGTTTTGGGTGGTTTTTTGCTTTTTTTAGCTAAAATCCATGTTCTGTTTTTAATTATCTGGTATTTCAGAAGATGAGGTTCTTTGCTATTCAAATGTTTTGTTAGAGTACTTTGTCAGGACAGCAGCTTCTTTGTGGAAATTGCCTAGAAGACTTCTTCCTGTTTAAGGTTGCTGTTTAAGTCACTTGTAAAATGAAGAGGTGTCAAATGTAAGGTTCTATATAAAGAAGGAAAAAAAATCCCAGTTCTTCCAAAACGAAACAAATACAAACCTTTCCACAATTCTTACTAAAGCTACGTGACACTTGATTAGCATAAAAGTTTTGGGAAAGGCATTTTGGTTACCATGGGGAATGCTTTTTACCATCTTATGGTGGGCTTAGAGATAAAACCAGCTGATGGCATTTGCATTTTTTGGTTTTTCATTTTGGTTGGTTCCCCTCCATCCCTCATCCCCACAGCTCAGTGATGGAACTTAAAATTGTTCATTGGCAGTTCCAGGCATATGTCAACTTTTCTTCCCCCACTGGTACCTAGGTAGTGGATTACCCTCTGCTTCCTGAAGGGCAGTTTGCTGAAAGAGGAAAAATTCTCAATTGTCATCCAAGTAGTAATGTTAGAGTAAGAATGTGATTCCTTGTTTGGAAGCCTAGAAGATGATGAAGCCAAGAATACTTGATTTCAGTTTTCTTACGATATTTATGGATGCCAGCTGGAGTTAGGCAGTAATTTACACTTGATTAAAAGCCTAAAAAGATAACACTAATTAGAAATTAAAGCTTTCAAGATTTTGCCTTTTGCTTCCCAAAATATGGGAACATGGCTTGCACAGCCGGGAGATGAGCTGATTAGTATTTCTTTTATCACCAGCTTTTAGAGTTTCAGGATAGTTTCATTCTGTTTCCATGATACATTGCTGGAGAGGGATTGCTACCTTACTTTCATAAATATTTTTTTCCCCATTCAATTACAAGCATATTTTTGAGCAATGAAGAATGTAAATTATTTTTTTAAAAAAGCCAAATACAGGAATTACTAATTCTTGGACCTCTTGTCTATTTGCTTATCTCCTTGTGCAACAGGTTAAGTTGGATGAACACATTTTTCTAATCTGTTCCAGTTGCTCTTGCTATAGGGGTGTGTTAATATCTCATTCTTGAACCACTGCTCCAAATTGCTTGTAGGCATTTTAACCTGGATGCTGCATCTTCATGATTCATGGTGAAGCCCCCTATGCCTGGTTGAGTCTAAGTGCTGCTAACATTTTCTGCTAATGGCACAGATGTTGGGACAACTAATAACCAAAAATTGCCTGCAGAGTTTGGCTGCCTGACAGTGTAGATGTTTAGGTGACTGTTCTTTGAGGCTTCATTAGCAGTTCAGATGTGTCATTCAGGTATTCAACAGGTAGTTTTTGCTTCCAGCCCAGTACAGATGGTGCTTTTTCTGGCTCTCCACTTAGTCTTCTGTTACATAAACAGAATGCACCAATTGATAAAAGTGGTAACAATATCAAATGTTAAACTATTATTCCTGGGTGCTCTTGCATCTGGCATTGCTGAAGCAGATGTCAGTACTTACCAATCTACTTCAGGCATTCAGAAATAGAGTAGATTTGTGTTATCTTTTGTTTTTCTTTACAACTTTAAATCTCAAATTTTCCAAATTCTGTGTGTGTATTCTGTGTATTTAATGCGTTGCTGAAATGAAAGTGGGAAGGTCGATTTCTGCTTAGATGTTAAGGATTACACATTTGAGCAGGGTAAAAAGAAATGCCTCTTGTTCATTGGAGAGGATGAAAAATGTTTGGTGGCATTTAATCTCCTAAGGAAAACTCACAATTTAGATTGCTGGAGATAAGAGGTACATTCAGTCTCAACACTTTCAGATCAGTAACTTTTTATTCAACATAAAAATCCCACTCTTTTCTTTACATGTACTCTCTAGGGTACATGTAAAGACAGGGTACCTTCTTATTTCTGATTTCTATTCTGTTTTTCACCCAGCATTAAATTTAGTAGTTACAGTACTAACCAGGGTGATTGCCACACCTCAGAGCAGTTTCAGAGAACATTTAGTAGCATGTCTTAATGTCAGTTTTGGTTTAATATGTGCTAAAGACATCTGAATCAAAACTTTGTCCTTCACATTCCTTTTATTTTAATTCAACTCAGTTCTTTGTGATCCCTGTCCTGTTTATGGTTTAGAGCATTACAGGCCTTTTTCAGTTGGGAATTACTAGTAGATAAATGATAAATAGTTGCCTTTTAAAGACTTTGCCACAGTTGGATATTGTAAAAACACTACTGTACTTCAGGTGAATGAGGTGGAGCATAGGCTGGTGTGATTTGTGTATGAGTGGTAAAATTATCCTTTAATTATCCTTTGATTGTTTATTTGTGTCTTAAGTTAATGCTGCACAATTATTTTCAGACTTGAATTCATTTAAAATTAGGGTCAGTATGTCTAACACTACAAAAGTCGGTCTTCAGTTGTCAGCCATCACTCCATTCTTACAGAAATTAATGACAATCTTAAATATTTGTACTAGCTTGTTAGCTTGTTGGGTGGTAATGGATTCTGGTAAGTCTTCAGGTGAAGGCAGAGAACTTCTGAAGTGACCTAGGTAACCTGTGTTCTTTATCAGCTTTCAAACCCATCTCCCAGTAAGATGGAGTCTCCCCAGGGGAATGTAGATGTACTTACTGCTTGGAACTTTGTAGTTAATTATATTTGGCTCTCTAATTCTAATAACTTGCATGTGTGCTATGCTTGCTTGCTTTTCAATAGCTGA